GTGTACCTCGACGACATACTTATTTACAGCCCCGACAAAGCACCGCACTTACAGGACATCGAAGTTGTTTCTAAAATACTGACTGACAACCACCTACTGACCAAAGCTTCTAAGTGCGAGTTTTTACAGGACAGACTGGAGTTTTTAGGACCCATTATTTCAGCTGAAGGAGTGGAAATAGACCCGAAGAAGATCGCGACGATTCAAGCATGGCACGCGCCGACAACTTTGACTGAGTTGCAAAGCTTTTTGGGGTTCGTCAACTACGTGCGCCGGTTCGTCCCCGACATGGCGAAGTTGACTGCCCCGTTGACCGACCTACTGAGGAAGGGGGTTGAGTACACGTGGGGGGAGAAAGAGCATGTCAGAATGTTATTCTCTAGTTTGTAGTGGGGTGCTCTATAGCGAGTACAACCCATCTAGGGTTTGCTATATGTATCCTCATTGCTGCTAGTGAACTCCCCTCTTTTGCCTAAACTGTTTCTTGCCTAGCTAGGATTCTCCTAGCTATGGCTCCTGATCCTAACTCTACACACTATCTTCACATGGAATCAGAGCACATACGCTCCTGGCCTCTGGGCCCTCCTACTGCTTCCGCTGCCCTACGCTGTGTCGCGCGCCCCGTGGTGCGCGGCCTCTTATTTTTCATCCCGCCGCGCGCTCGGGGCGCGCGGCGGTTTTCTGCCCGCCGTGCGCCCCGAGGCGCGCGGCGGTTTACTGCTGTGGGGGAGCCAGCGCGCGCCCCGCCCGTCCGTCGCGGAGCCCTGGGGAGCACGCGCGGCCCCCCACCCTGCCCGTCGCGGCGCGTTGGGGAGCCCGCGAGCCCCCCGTCCGTCCGTCGCGACGCCCTCGGGAGCCCGCGAGCGCCCCGCCCGTCGGTCGCGACGCACTGGGGAGCCAGCGGGCGCCCTGCGTGGTCGTCGCGACGCCCTGGGGAGGCCGCGCGCGCCCCGTCAGCTCGTCGCGGCGCCCTCGGGAGGCCGCGCGCGCCCCGCCAGGCCATCGCGGCGCCCTGGAGAGCCGCGCGCGCGTCCCCCCCGCCCGTCCGTCGCGGCGCCCAGGGGAGCAGCGCGCGCCACGCCCCTTCCCTCGCCACACCCGTCCGTTCTGGCGCCCTAGAGGCGCGCGCCTTCCCCCCCCTCTCCGTCCCCCGCGCTCCTGCCCCTATCCCACCCGTTTTAGGGTTTGGGGGTGAGGAGTGTGGGGGTGGTGGTTGTGGGGGTGTCCGTTGTGCGCGCCGTGCCCTTCTCCTCCTCCTCCTTTGTCTCCCACTGCTGCAGCTGTCGCTGAGGGGGGTGGATGAGTGGGAGACTGGGGTTTAGGGTTTTAGGGGGGTGCGTGGGAGTGGAGCTAGGGTTTGAGCAGTGGGTGTGTGTCGAGGGTGTGGGGCAGTTGGAGGAGGTTGTGTGGAGGTACCTGTCGTGTCGCCTGCAGCGCCTGTAGTCCGTCGCCCTTGCTTCGGTAGCCAGTGAGCCTGCTGCACCAGTCGCCAGTGGGTCCGTTGCTCCTGCCGCTCTTCTATAGCCGCCGAGCCAGTTACTCCAGTAGTCCGTCGCCCTTGCTTCGGTAGCCTCTGAGTCAGCCGCTCCTGTGCCCGTGCCTCTGCAGCTTCAGTCGTTGCCTCCCATCTTCTCTACCTCCACAGCTCCTCCTCCTCCTCACTTGCCCGCTGTGATTAGCTCTAGCTTTGCTTACCTTTGTGAACTCCTGCTCTATACCTGCTTGCTCATTGTACTGATTACACCCCACTTTGGCTATGGGGGTGTGTCAGAATGTTATTCTCTAGCCTGTAGTGGGGTGCTCTATAGCGAGTACAACCCATCTAGGGTTTGCTATATGTATCCTCATTGCTGCTAGTGAACTCTTCTCTCTTTTGCCTAAACTTCTCTTGCCTAGCTAGGACTTACCTAGCTATGGCTCCTAACTCTACCTACTATCTTCACAGAGCAAGCTGCCTTCTCGGTCCTCAAAACAATTTTGTGCTCGCCGCTCGTGCTTCACATCGCAGATCCGCACCGCCCGTTCGAGCTCGTCACCGATGCTAGCAACATCGCTGTGGGAGCAGTACTGTTGCAGGACTTCGGGAACGACCTCCAGCCAATCGCGTACGAGTCCCGCAAGCTTCACCCGCCCGAACGCAACTACCCGGTACACGACCGCGAGATGTTGGCGATCGTGCACGCATTCAAGGTGTGGCGATGTTACCACACGGGAGCAGACATGACAGTACAGACAGACCACCGATCACTACAGTACCTTCGCGCCCAACCGAATCTCAACCCGCGACAGATCCGTTGGTTGGACTATCTGGAGTCCAACTTCCACTATACGGTCACGTACAAAAACGGTGCATCCAACATCGCCGACGCACTCACACGCCCCACCGCCCAACTCCACGCCATCCTACTCGCCCAAACCAACCCACTGCTAACCGGCCTATTCACCCACGGATACAGTACCGACCCATTTTTCACGACCGGAAATTCACAGCAACTGGCAGAAGCTAAATGGGTCTATTACGTAAGACATGCACCAACCGCATCTGGGTACCCGCGTACTCACTACTGAGGGAACTGTTACTGCAGGAGGCACACGACGGGATTACCTGGGGACATTTTGGGGTAGAAAAAACGCGACAGCAACTGCAGCGGTATTACTACTGGCCCGAGCTGTTGACCGACGTACAGCACCACGTGGGCTCGTGTCCTACGTGTTAGGTGATGAAGAGCTCGTGAAAAAGAAAGGCGGGTCAGTTGCAGCCGATTCCACCGCCTGAGCGCGCCTGGCAGCAGGTTACCATGGATTTCGTCACAGGGTTACCTTCGAACCCCGGGGGTAAAGACGCAGTTATGGTCGTCGTTGACAGGTTGACGAAGATGGCACACTTTGCTGCGTGCAAGAAATCGATCTCAACCGAAGAAACCGCTCGCCTGTTCATCACAACCGTCATTCGACTGCACGGGATACCAGCCGTGATAATCAGCGACCGCGACACGAAGTTCATCAGCAACTTCTGGAAGAACCTCAGGGAGCAGTTCGGGACTAGGCTACAGTTCAGCTCGTCGTACCACCCCGAGACAGACGGTCAAACGGAGCGGACGAATCAGACGATGGAGCAGCTGATTCGTGCCACATGCGACGATCCGACAACTTGGGAGCAGCAGCTGCCGCTGATTGAGTTCGCGTACAACAACGCCTCGTCAGCGACGACGCAGCAGTCCCCGTTCTACCTGAACTACGGGCAAAACCCTATAGTGTCCATGACGCCGAGTCCGGACAACCCAACGCCACGCGCACAACAATTTGGCAAGATTCTGCAAGCTGCCAGCACTAGAGCCGCCAAAGCAATTAAAAAAACAAATATCATTGCTAAGCGCAACGCTGGCCGCCACCGCCGCCCAGTCACGTATCAGTTAGGAGATTACGTACTGCTCGACACACAGAACCTAAGACCGCCCGTCGTACCGAAATTACGACTGCGCTACTGTGGACCATTCCAAATCAGCCACATGATCACCCCACTAACAGCACACTTACTGTTGCCGACAGACTGGTACATCAGCCCATCATTCCACGTCAGCCTGCTTCGCCCATACATCCTTACCACGAGCCAACTGCTGCGTCACCACCCGCCATCCATGACTCGCCCTGCATCGGAGCCGATCATCGAGCCCGAAAAAATCCGGAGCCATCGGATTCGACACCCGACGGGAATCAGGAGAATTGAGTTCCCCGTTCGCTGGAAGGACCGCACGCCAACTGAGGATAGCAGGGTGCCCTTGGCCAACATCGAAAACCACCCTGCCTTGCAAATGTACCTGAGGAGCTGGGGTTTCCGCGATATACACGCACTCGCGTAGCGGAGGGGGCTTCTTAAGGGGGGGGGGGGGGGGGGGGTAGTGTAAGGAATTTTCTCGACATTGCAACATCGCGTACAGCAGTAGCCGTTGTTCGCCCGTTACTGCTAACGGGGCTTCGCTGACTTTGCGCGCACTGTTTCACCAAACCTCGCACTGCTGGACGGACCGTGTCGGCCTACGCTTCGGGACTAGCCCGAACCTCACTGCCAGCGTAGCACTAGCAGCTCGCACGCACCGCATTACCGTTTAAATGTTCGCTCATGCCTTCGCTCACATTTTGTACTCCTCGCCACCTAGATTCATTGCACCCGTAACACAAATACTCAAATTCCTGCCCTCGCTTACCTCTCCCAAACTGAGGATGCGGGTTGTGAGGGCAGGAAACGCGGCTTGTGCGGGACAGACCAACGTAACCTCGCGGTTCGCCGAATCCCCGAAGCTCAACATTTTGTCAAACCTACGCCAAGCGAAACAAGGGAAGCAGGGAGGGAATCTTTCCCAAACATGATGCATGAGCCCAACCCAACAACGGCTCCATCCACCGACACACTCTCCCACAACGAACCCAGCACCTGCCCTGTACCACCACAATAGCAGTCACAAATGTGCTGTGTGCTGAACAGAATGGATGAACTCGTCTTACACTCCCTTGCTGATTACCGTTTCCTGACTTCAAAGCTTGCTTTTGCCTGTCCCAGCATTCCCCGTTGCCTTTGCACAGCCCTCGCTTCTGAGCCTTTCCCGCGTGACACTCCGTCAGTGCTTTTCAGTTTTGCGCGATCTATTCATGGGTCGCTACCTAAAAGGAATAGAGTAGTCAGTGAGCACCGCCGGCGGTGGCTTAACCGTGCTCTTGAGGCTCTAGACTATCATCGTCGTTCTCATAGAAGCAGTTAGCGCACACGATGGGTGGGGAACGAAGAGATTAGTGCCATGAGACATCATTGGCGTTTCCACTCAATGTGGGGGCTCCGCGACATCGACTGGCGCACTTACTTCGTGCCCAGCTTCCGCCGTGTCCACGCGCATCTCGCGCGTTGAGGTGGCCAATCTTCTTCTTACACGCGTGAGCTGATCGCCACGCTTCATCCGAGCCTGCACCGCCGCTGATTTGAGCCATCGTAGAATTAGCAGCTCGCAATGCTGCTTTCACGGAGCTTTCGCTGTGCTCTGGTAGCAGCGCTGCTGCTGCACCTCTCTCTCTACTGCTCTCTTGCCCAACACTCACCCTCTCTGCCGAGCACGGCAGGCAGGCAACTCGCCGCTGCCAAGCAACAGCCGCAAGCGCCGGGCGGGGTGACGAGCACGAGCCTCGTTCTTCTGCCCAACAACCCGCTTGGCGCGAAATGCCTCGACGGCAGGTGAGAGCGGGGGCGAGGTGCGGCGTTCGGGAAGGGGAGGGCGACGCTACTGATACCAGGATGACGAGCAGACTTTGTCTGGTCTGACTGTTGGCGGCGAATTCTAGAGAAAGTGCAGAATCGTGTGATGCACGCTCATTAAAAAAAAATTTACAGTTTCAAAACACTTGCTACCCTCCACTTCCGTCGCTTACCCCGCAGTCCCCCGGGGTACTACTTCCGCCCGGGCTTTGGCGCGGGGAAGCGCTTCTGGCACATATTCCTGCCCGCGGGGGGGTGGTGCACCACGCTCGCGGACTGCGCCCTGCGCGGCACTCGTCCGCTTGGCTCCACGCGCTACTGGGCTCGCCTCAACGGCTCTGTCCCCCCGTCCGCCTCAGTCCCGACCCCCCCGTCACCTCCCTCTACCACCCAGTCGCGTCCCCCTTTCCTCTTCCCCACGCCGTCGCCCCCGTCGTCGTCGTTAGACGACAGTGACGACTCGCAGGTCAGTCGTGCGACGGCTCTCAATAGGCGCTGCCATCCAGTGCGCCTCTACACTGCCCCACTTCACACCCTCACTCCGCTGACTCCCACCTGCCCCATGCACTGTACTTTCCCCTGCATCCCGCACCTCTTGTTAACCCCGCTGCCTTTCGCACCATATCTGTCCCACTACACGTCTGCGCTGCTGCGCCACAGCACCCGCCAAGCACCTCCAAGCACCCTATTCTCCGCATTCCCCGTCGTCTTTTTCTCCCCCCGACCCCACCACTTCACTGTCCTCTTAATTCATCCCTCCGTCCTTAAAACCATTCCACGCTTCATTCCCCACGTTTCTTCAACTATTCTGCCGCGTATTCTCCTTCATCCCGTGGTTCCCCGTTACATGCGCATGCGCGCTGTCGCCGGCCGTGCAGAGCGCGTCCCCGCTGCGCGCCGTGCCAGGGTTCAGCGGCATGCTGAGCAGCAGCGAGGCGGTGAACCCGGGGCTGTTCAACTGGAACCTCGCCATGCCCATCTACTGCGACGGCGGCGGGTACGCTGGCACGGCTGGCCGCGTGCACCTGCCAGGGAAAGGAAACAACTCCATTTACCTCGATGGCTTCAATGTTACACGGACCATTCTCGCAGGTCAGTTCCGTGTCCCTCCATGTCGTCTTTCTACTCGCCCATGTTCCATGTCACACTTTCAATCTCTGCTTGCCACACCGTATGCCCCATCTGACGCCTCCCTGGTTACCCCGTACGCCCTTACCTCGTGAGTAGCACCAACGGAAGCACGGCAATTGCACTTGTGTTGCCTGAGAATCACCATTCCAGCCTTACCTGCTCCCACACCCCCCACAGTCAGGAGGGTGACAACGGTATGACAGGCCAGTGGTGCTGCAAGCCGCATGTTTCCTGCCCTGCTCACCACTACTGCCTCCTCCTCCACCCCTCCCTTGCCGTGCAGATCTCCTGGCAGTGCGTGGGTTGGCGTCTGCACGGCGTGTGCTGGTGGCAGGAGCATCAGCGGGAGGGCAGGCTGTGACAGCGTGGTGCGAGCGAGTGGCGGCCATGGTGCCCGGCGCCGTCACCAAGTGCCTCGTGGACTCGGGAGTATTCCTGGGTGAGTCACATGGACATATGGGTCTGTGACGCGCACAGGGAAGAGACCTCAAGACATGGCAAGTGCTGGCGGTATGCACGTGGGGAATCTCCTTGTACGCAGTAGCACCTGCTGGATGGACGTTGGCTCGCGGTTGTGAGTTGCGGATGCCAACTTTATGAGCCGTGGCCCATATTCTATCTTTGCACACGCCACTCCTTGTGTGCAGACGCCAAGGACAGGACAGGCACATGGCACTTTCGGCAGGTAGCGAGGCAGATGACAACACTGCACAGGGCCCAGGGCAACGATAAGTGCATGCAAGGTGATCTAGCACACCTGGTACCTAGGCCTGAGCACGTAACTTTCCGTCATGTTGTAATCTCAGCAATGGTACCTACAGACACTGATTCGAGTCGTTGCTTCCCCGACACGTGCAAGCTAACTCCAGTTGTTTCTTTCATGTCCAATTTCAGCGGAGTGGCCATCCACTCAGTGGCGCTGCTTCTTCCCTCAGTATACCTTGCCGCACATTACCACACCAGTCTTCCTCCTCTCGCCCCTCCTGGACCACCGAGCTCTCATACTTGGCAACCAAATCCGCAACGACACCGGCTATGCCAAGCAGTGCATCAGCAACATTCTGCGCAGCACAGCCAACCTCACACACGCCATGTGCTACAGCGCCCGGCGCAATGCCGTGGCAGGGAAGGTGAAAGTGTGCACACCCGAGGAGACCAATGCTATCTTAGCGGCGGGCAACACGCTCCTCACTAGTGTGAAAGCCATAGTGCAAGAACGACCTACATGGGTGGCGTACATCCCAGCTTCAGCAGCACATTGCTACACATACTTCCCATCCTATAGCGAAGTTTCTATACAACAATACCGTATGGCCCCGGATATAAGCGCAGGCCTATTAAAAGCGCATGCGCTTGTATCTGGAGCAATGCGCTTATGGCCGATCCTCAATTATAAGCGCACCCCTTATAAAACCCTGATATGTTATAAGCGCATGTGTAATTTTATTTATAATTCTTCATTAAAACGGTAACGTATCTCAGTTTTGCAGCGAGGCCACAACCCATTTTCGCTTACATTGACTTTCGAAGACCTCTCACATCCTGCGCGTCCAGTCAGCACGAGCTGGCACGCCCTCAAAGTGAGGTGTTACACTGTATTTTGCCTCTGGGCGCTCGCGAAGAATCGCCCGCGCGCGATTTTGACATGTGACTTTCTACAATTTCGATTCGATTGAAATCTGAAGGATGAGATGTACAATTTGGTGCATTGAAATATATATTTGTATTTGTTATATTATAAGCGCATGCGCTTATATTTTTTACTCAATTATAAGCGCACCCCCCAAAAAAACACTGTTTTATTATAAGCGCAGGTGCGCTTATATCCGGGGTAATACGGGTATTCATTAAAGAACACTGTGGCTGACTGGGCTTTAGATGCACAGAAACAACTGAGATTGCAAGGTCCAATCGTATGAGCGCTAGTGTAGGCCATGCCTTCATGTATCAGCGAAAAATGGTTTATTCGTGCAGATTTTAGTGTACCACCAAGTTTGTTATGCCATGCCAGGTTTTGATTTTTGTTTTTGCCCGAGTTTTGTGGTCTTGCCGGTGGTGTAATTAAGGTGCACATTCCAGGGTTAAGGTTTGCATATATGTACGGTACCATTTTCGTTTCGTTTCTTTTCTAACCTAGTACGTATCATCACTAGGTCCGATCTCGCTTCCGCTCCGCCCCTAGCCTTGCGCGCCCCAATAGTGCCCCTGCCGCTAGTCGCCTATCGCGCCCTATTAGCCCATCTCGTCGCGCCTAGGTAAGCCCCCCCGTGGCCCCATCCCGTCGCGTTCAGGTAAGGCTCCCGCGGGCCCCATCCGTTGCGCGCAGAAAGCCCCCCGCGGGCACTACCCATCGCGCGAAGGGAACCACTCCCCCACCCCACCCCACCCCTCCCTCCCCCCTTTGCGGCAGCAGTAGCACCTCCTACCGCCACTGCCGCCTGCTGCATTAGCGCGCCGCCGCTGTTACGAATAGTAATTATTGAAACATTACTATGCACTCCTTACCGCAGCAATCAAAGCACGTACTATCGAGACTGAAGACGAAAGGGCGGAAGCGAAGCGACGCGAAGGGTCACACGGTTACGAAAGGATCTGGACCGTCGGGCAGACAGCATCAGGCAACAGCAGTGTCGAGGATGTTGGAAACAATCAAGCTTAAGCGCCTCTGTCGTGTCGAAACACCAAGGCACAAGCGAAGCGAAGCATATCGAGGCACCAGCGAGTCAACCCTCGGAGGTTGAAGTAACTGCTGGAGGTTACGCGAAAGTCAAAGGACAGCGACCTTTGACCTGACAAGTACAGCGCGACAGCAAGGACACACAACTGACTCGCTACAGAGCAGTTGCCCGAGTCGTCACTGTATCGAACCGCAACAGCAACAGTAAAGTAGTTATAACCGTACCTCTTCATATTCCTTGTACTCATATATAATCCTGTATCTCTTTGCTTTAATCAATCGACTTTGCCCTCACATACTAGCGCAAGGTGGTTCAAATACTTCTCATTAAGCTTCCGCTATTACATCAGTCCTACCCAGAATTCACCCCGGCAAAGATCCTAAGGGCTTTTCTCAGCCCAACATGGTATGAGAGCTATCAGGGGGAATTCAACTATCAAAACACCTACAACATCAGAAGACATGGCTACTCAGAAGGAAAGGAGTTCCTCTATTGGTTCTCCCGGCACTACTCCTACTCCACCTCCTGTCTCTGGCCTACAGACAGAGGAGGGTACGGCAACAAGACCCAGGGCAACATCCAACGAGACTCCTGCGAATCAACCTGCAGGCTTCGACCAGAGCATGATGGAGAAGTTTTTCTCCTTCATGTCCTTCTACGAGCAACACCAGCAATCGGTACCTGCGCAGTCACACAACAGCAACAACAACAACGACGTGACTCCAATGAGTCTTGATGGTTCATCCTACGCACGTGGAAATCAACAGCAGCAACCTACCTTTGCTCCGTACGAGCCCCAGCGCGGCTCCGTCAGCTTTATGCCACAACCGCAGCCTGCACCTGGACAGGAGAAACCACTGGACGCACTTCAAGTTCAGTCGCAGTTCGTGCACGTTTTAAAACTTCAGACGTCAAGGCCTTTCGACGGAAAGGACTTCTTCACCTGGTCGTTCGAGTTTGAGTTAATGATGGAAGGTGCGCAGATTCTTGGCTTCTTCGACGGATCCCTGCCATACCCAACAAACGGCACACAGTACGAGAAGCAGCAGTACACCTATCAGTCAATGATGGCGTATACGATTCTACTGAGGAACATCACCCCGAACCAGCAGCAGAATATACGGTCTTACCGGGGATACGGCAACTCCGCCGAACTCGCATACAGCCACTTGAAGAACCTGTACCAAGCAACAGACAGCGTTAATCAGAGTCGGCTAATGGCGCAGTTGACAATAGTGGAAATGAAACCAGGCGAAAAGGGAATAGCATATATCAGCCGCTGTCGCGAGTTGCGCGACAAACTCCTTCGATGCGGAGGGTCGATATCTGAAGACGCCTTCGTGACAGTCATCATCGGCGGCCTCGGTCCTCAATGGCGCGCCACAAAGGCCATTCTCCGAGCTCATGGGAGAATCTCCGAAGCAGCACTCTGCGCAGAAATACACGCCGAGCAACAAGACATGGACCTGCAAGAGGAACGGCACAAGAAGAAAGCATCAGTACCCGAATTCGCGTTTCACACTCAGCGACGCTACAACAACAACAACAACCGACAACAACCAAAGCCCGTACCTCCGTTCTGCCATCTCTGCAAGACGTCAGGACACCCGCGCATACACTGCCCGAATCGACAACAGTCAACACCGCCACAACGGCAGCTTCGACCCTCAAGCAGTCAAATCGCCTCCACGCAAGCGAACCCCACAAGTCAACTGCAGTCCTCAACGACACCGCCGTCAACACAACCTGCACAAGGAACAAGAAATATCGCCAGGTGCATGGCAAGATTGTCAGACTCTTGCATCACCGAGTCACCCCCACACTACTCACCGGAAGAACAACTCGACAACACCACACCTCGCCGCGAGTCACTTCAACCGAATCCAACGTACGCAGCCATCGCCCAGAGCGAGCCATCCGGGAAAGACACCTGGTTCTTGGACAGTTGCTGCGGACAGCACATGTGCTCTTCAGGACGCTTCGTGCAGCAAGAGTACCAACTCAAACACGAAGTAGTCATCACCGTCGCCAACAACCAGAACCTGCGCACACGACGGCAAGGCGTGGTTCAACTTCAGTCAAGAGAGACAAACGTTATACTACAGATGTCAAAGGTATTAATCGCGGAGGGACTCGGCTACAACTTACTGAGCGTCAGCCAGTTGATGGCAAAAGGCATTCACCTCGAAGCAGACAGCACCACCCAGGAGTTCAAGTTGTACCACGGGAGAGGAGGTCTCTACATCGGCAAAGCAGTCTTGAAGAACAATGTCTCTGTTCTCGACTTCGTTCCAGACCTCGGCACCGCCGACAGCGACGGCATCGTCACCTTCACGTCTTCGACACATCCACCGGAACTTGACCCAGACTTCAGCCCCGGCGGTTTCTGGTATTCACACACGATACCTGAAGCAGAAAGAACAAGAGCGTTAGCAACAATTCAACATTCGGCAGCAGCAGAGACAACATCGGCAGCAGCAGAGACAACAGCGGCAACATCAACACCAATCGGTGGTCCTTCAACGGCACCGATCTTCGTCGACGACACACCACCGACACCCGCGCAGCAACTGCACCCAGCACCACGAGAAGTTCATCGAAGCGCCAACTTCACCGCCAGCTTCTACTCCAACTCCGACATGTACCGACGTTCACCCGGACACCGCGCCAGCGAAGAAATCTGGCATGCACGAATGGGACACCCAAGCAACACAATGTTAAACAACACGATAAGAGCAGGAGTGCTCGACAAAGATTCGCT